ACAAGCGCTCTCTCGTAGAATTCTTTAGCCTTTGTAAATTCGCTGAGTGACTGAAGCATAATCGCTAAGGTTCCTTTGACGTCTGCCTCTCCTTTTCTGTCGCCAATCTCCTTGCTGATCGCAAGTGCTCTCTCAGCGTAGTCTTTAGCCTGGGTATATTCACAATGGTCTGCAAGCAGTTTTGCAAATTCTCGGCAGGTGTCTGCTTCTTTTTTGTTGTCACCAGTTTGTACTGTTAGATTTATTGCTCTTTCATAAAATTCTCTCGCATCAACAAAATTGTTTCGTCTAGATGACATTCTTGCAATTGTCAAGCTTAATGCCACTCCTAGGGCGGCGACAGCAGGACGGTGGTTTTCGGAGAGAATTTTTCTCGCATATTTTGCCGAAGTTTGGTAATCAGAAATAGAAAAGTATGTCAAGAACATCTCCAAATAGATAAGTAGGTAAAGTTCCCTTGCAGTTTCATCCTTTTTTCCCTGCAAACTGGCATTTAATAGGTTCAAACATTCTTTGTAGAACTCTACGGCTTTGTGAAATCGACCAGTGTTCCTAAAAAAGAGGCAACTTTTACACCTAGAAAGGTCGTCCATAACCTGGTTGTAAAATCCATTACGGTGTCACTTGTCATTGTAAACAGCTAAAAGAACGCAGAAAATTACATGAATTTTACATCAAGACAGACGAGACAAGCACAGTATTTGAAGCATTAATTGCAATGAATCTGTCTATCAAGACAGACAAGACAAGGACAAGACAAGCACAGTATTTTGAAGCATTGGAATTAATTTGATATCAAGATAGACGAGATAGGCACCTTATATTGAAGCACTGGAATGAATTTCTATATCAAGACGGACAAGACTAGCACAGTATCTTAAAGAATTGGAATGAATTTTTATACCAAGACAGACGAGACAAGCAGAGTATGTTAAAGCATGGAATGAATTTTGATATCAAGACAGACAAGACAAGCACAATATAGTAAAGAATTGGGTTGAAGGGCGGAGGAAAGAAGAAGATCAGGTCACCCAAAATATGGAGAAGAAAAGTTTAGGGCGAAGGGTTAGCTGCTGAACGACAATAAACGGTGTCTGTGAAAGAAACAAGCGAGCTAAAATGCCAAAGTTTCGTGTGTATCATTGCATGTCAATACTGTGGGATAAGATACATTGTCAGAAACGAGGACATGTTCTCTTGATGAAGAGCACGATCGTTGTAGCCACTCGTGTCATAGTTTCCCTTAACTAAAACATGAAAAGCTAACAATTTTTATGCTTTGTTTCAAGCAAACTGTGGTAATGAACGAAGTGGATGAATTCTTCAGTAAACATCGCAAGGGTCAGTAGTTTTGGGCAATGCACTCCCACTTAGTCTCTGAACTCAGCTGCATTCAGTCTATCGTTAAGTTTCGTCGACGCTTGCGGCTACATGCGTGATCTGATTCAACATGCATTGTTCGTAATCAAGATAATTTTGGAACTGATGTTTAATTGCCGTTCCTTATGACTGATAAGACAAAGGAACGATCACTCTAAGGATAAAAGCCTAAGTGATGTGACTTATGGAAGCCTCCGAGGGGAAATTTTAATATTTTTTATAGTTTAAGGGACTTTCATTTTAATGAATACTTGCGTTGTTTAGAGCGAACTGGCTCTTTTTTGACTCTTTTCTTTTTAAACCAATGTGAGTGGGGGCTCGTAAGAGGGAAGAAGGAAAGTTAAATGTCCTATTTTTCCTATGGGATATGAAATACTTATAGAGTCTAAACTTTTTCACAAT